ATTATATGTCAGACGAGATAATATTCCTTCATGAGTTATGTTTCTAAATTGTCAGAACGTCTTGCTTTGATATATATATCTGCTAAAAGATTTTCAATAACGGTACATCAAAATGCATTAATCTACCGTATTAAACAGTAAGCAAACTATCAATATTGAGGGAAACTTGTATAAATTGAAAATTTATTGCCGGTTATATCCTGTGGTTTGTAGACTTATTACCTATTGGTGAAATTAATACTTTCTTGTCATGTCTTATCATCCCAAATTGATATTGTCTAATATTATCTTTAAATTACTTTGTATAGTTAATACATACATTAGGCTACAAATATTTGATTTTCAAAATGGTGATTCTATCAAATTAAAATTGCAATGACTGCAACATAACTTTTTTTTTCATAAGAATATAGACATAATTATTAACTAAAATAAATGTATTCATGAATTAACATTAAGTATACTGTAAATATCAATTGTCAAAACATACTTTGTTACTAACATATAGCATCGGCACTTAATAATTTGCAATTTCAATGGAGTCTATATTAAGAAGACTTAATATATAGGCCATTCAAACCTAAATGAAGATTCGTTTGAACTACTTAGGGTATGTTTTGAAATGTGGTAATGGTTAAAATGAAGTAAAACAAATTATTAAGATAGTTTCAATTATAAGATATCGTACATTTAATTCAACATTAAGAGATTAAGTAATAAAAACAAATTTATTGAGGTAAGTATGTAGTTTATTAAGAGTATTAAATGAGTCATTCCTAGCATCTGAATTTCATCATTTTATTCGTTTAATTTCCAGTAAAATGTATTGAGAAGTAAATTTATAGACTGATTATAAACCTTCTCAGTACTAATATCCTCAGCAATTAACTTATTAAAATAACCATTATATCAATGAATAATCTGTTTATATATTTTTATGATATACGTAATGTATCCGGCATCTGTAATGTTTAAGTAACACTGTGTTAGTGTGTGTGTCCAGCCGAATGTGTTGTTATTTAACAAAATAAGAATTAAGAAAAAACAGAATCGGCAAGTTCAAGCCGTAAACATGACCTAGAAGAATGTCGTAAATCAAACATACGTATGTTTAATATTGTAACATTAATCAGGAGTGTTTTCAATGGGGACAATTATGCGCTACCCATTGTATTAAAAAGTCGCTTCTAAAATAGTTAAATCAGACAAATCATCACTTAAGGAAATGTGTGCTTGTCGGTTATTATTATTTCCTGCTCTGCCTTGTGCCCTGTTCTGTTTTTTGTTTGGGGTCCTCCTAGACTCCTGGCCGCTGCTACTTGTTGCTGGGTCGTGTTGGGGTTGCGTTCATTGAACGCCGCAATTCCTTGTTGATCTTGTTTATCATATTTCGTTTTGCTACCTTTGTATCTGTTTATTCGATTATCTTTTATTCAGTACAATAAGGTAAACGTACAGCAGTACTAAAGTGGTCGTGTTACAGAAAACAAAAATAGGAGGGCGAATATCCATTTAAACTGCTTTATGTTTGTTGTTTTTCCCTGAAGGCCGATACTAATTTGAAAGAGTGTTTATCATGAAAGCGTTATTGCTGTTGGTCAATCAAATTATGCTGTCAAATTATATTTTGTGTTATAAGTAAAAGATGAATATTAATCATTATTGTACAAAAACATTGACTATTTATTTAATTGTTAAAAGACATACATGTTTACCAAACAAACTGATCTGTCAATAATTCTTGTACAAACATTTTAAAACAAGCAATTTGTTTCGGTTTTCAAATTATTTTATTTTATTTCTCTGTATAAATATATACTTTAGTTAAACTAGCATCAATAGAACTATTTTTCTAGAAGATCATTAATAACGGCGTGTATCGAAGCATTGTCTGTTTGCCGGCCTTTGTTTGTTTTTGTTTATTTTTTTGGCGAAACACCTTGCAGCTACATTATTCACGTTCAGTACAACCTGACCTTGGTGCTATAAATGGAATTAAACACTTAGTCATTTTTATAGTTATTGCGTGTATTAACATCTGCAGAAGCCCAATGACGTATTTTAAGTACGAACACAAGCCTTTTGACCGAGAATTTAATAAGACCGTGTCCGAAGGCTACTGCAGACATTTTTGCTCGGAAATTGGTGCATTAAAGCTATTCTTGCATAAAAAATGTACTTCATAATTTCGCGCATCGCCATTTGTCTGTTGTCATGCTTTTCAAACGCAATGCCTTTTGGCAGTTACATGTATGCATTTTGATGTTCACTTCTATCCGAAACAACAAAGCATATTTTCTGAATTGAGATATCGTATGTGTCAATCAACACTATAAATTAACCGTAAAATCAATTACTAAAAGAATATGCCGGCTAATTATGATTCTTATCAAGGTTCTGTTAACCGTATCGAATATAAAAACTGAATTACCTTTCCGTGTCATCAAGTTGTGATTATCTTTTACTGACTGCATTTATAATTACCTAGATTATTGATAAGATAGTGAGAAAATGGATTTCTCTGAGAAATAGAAAAAAAGGATTTTTTTCCAGGTGCAATTATACGAAGGTTGTAAATGTGTCAGGGTCAGCGTTAAGTTCAAACACTGTTTTAATAGTACGTTTATACTATGCATTTCACACTTTCTTTATTTCATAGAAATGATTACAAAATAAACAAGAGAAAAAACTTGTGGATAAAATGGATCACGTTAATTTTAAAAGGAGCGAGTAGAAAGCGTTATTCAATTTGCTGATTTGTTTCAAAGGAATACGTTGAGTTATTTCATGTTCATGTCCGATTTAATTACTATTTCTGTCTGTTTAAGTGAAGCTTATAATAATTACAGATCTCTTTTAGTTTAGGTGTAAAGTCACGTCCGCACCATTCAGGTCATATCACGCTTATCCAGTTATACTGGTGGGGCGGAGGAACTCATTATATCAGGCATCATTTGATCAATGTAAAAAGGAATATATAACCAGTTTAACTTAAGTTCAGATCTACTTATTATTTTCATGTAGATTTGATGACGACCTTATACGTATGTTTCTTGCCTTCTATATAATTCGGAATTCCCGAGAAAGCTATTACTACTATTTACTAGCCATCCAGTCAAACCGGATTTTACAGACAGGCATTAGAAGATGTATCAAATTACTGTTTTCCGTGGAAGTTCGTATTTGGTCACGGTCAGATCTAAAAGCAGAGCCTTATTTAGAGCTGATCAGATCGAGTATAAAACATAATTGCCCTTATCGCAAACTAAAGGCATGCGTACTATACTCGGAATTTACCCCAAAATGTGTTATATAACTAGTAATTATATGATTAGCAATTAAGTATTATACAATAGACATTTCTTCTGCTGATTTGTCCATATTGTTACAAAGCTCCGTCGAAATCAAATGATATTCAAAAAAGTAATTCTAATCGCGTGGTTAGGGAAAACTAGCTTTCATGCAAACACTTATTCACAAAGTGTAGTTAAAACATGACTGTTTACTGACAGGACTGAATCTATTTAAACCACTTTAGACCACAAACTGCCACAACCTATTAACGCTGAAGACGGTAAATCGTATTTAGATGGTTTGGCAAACGGTATGGTATAACATTACCGAAGCTGTGTCTTATTTACAGGGCTTCGGTAAATAATTGATTTAATCTGTTAATGTTGCCAGTTAATTATATTCAATGATCATAAAAGATTTTAAATATCTTCAGCTGAAAACAAGCGTAAAATTATGTGCCTTAGGTTGTTTTTGTACCAGTATTTCAAAATGTTATACTAAAAATATGTTCGACAAATGTTCAGAGATGCTTTACATTTACATTTCCGTAAGGTAAAATGCATAATTACATTCCTGTTTTCTTACTAGAAGAAATTAAAAGGCATCCATGGTTGAGTTAACACAGTCTCTGATGGAACACTGCTGTTGAATTAAAACTTATATTCAGCGTAAGGACGGACACTGATCGACCTCGTTGTCTTCTTGCATTAGAAATAAATCCTCTGTGCAGATGAGACTAAACCCAACAAAGAAAGTGAAGTAAGCCAAAATTTAATAAACTTGTTAAAGATGTCAATACTTAATTTTGACTAACTGAAAAGAGAAAAGGCAAGAAAAGCATTTTTGTATCAATTATAAATTTATTGCTCAATTATTCAACATATAACATATAGAATTGATGCACTAAATGATGATTGGAGAGAGATAAAATGAATAATTTACGTGAATATGACAAGGGGAAAACAGCAATAAAAAGCACAGTTATAATAATCCAGAATTTGTGTTCTTCAGTATAGTATGAAAATATCAAAAGCAATTTCTTAAACATATAAGTCACTGCAAAAATGTGTTCGTATCCTTTGAAGTTAAAGTTCATATTGTCGATAAAACAACATGCTTAGCTTACATTTTAGATCGAAAGGTAAACTATCAATAATAACACACAACATTTCAAGTAATAGTTACTTATTTTCTACACCTGAAGGCACATTACGCCTTAATATAAATTAAAAAAAATCTTCTTATGAAACGGTAGAAATTGTTTTCTCTGTTTTAATAATAGATTTAGAGCGTGTTAGTTGCTAGTCACCTGATAGAAGTAATATTTAGTGTAAAATAGTTTCGCTTTAATATCAATAACAAAAACACAACATAATATAATAAATATAATAGATAATTTAAGTGTATAACAAGTAAGTTATACTTTGGAATCTAATACAGGGCCTATACAGTTAAACGCTATGGTCAAATAAAATTGAAAGCTTTCTCGAAATTTATTGGGCCTTTAATTGTTTTCTTTCATCTCAGAGTTTTCAGGCAAAACAGATGTGAACGAAATAAGTGTTACACGAGCCGCATCACGACAAAATCAACATAGTGCGTTTGCGACCAGCATGGATTCAGACCAGCCTGCGCATTCGCGCAGTCTGATCAGGATCCATGCTGTTCGCTTACCAACTCTACAATGTATTACAAGTAGTAAAACCGATAGCGAACAGAATGGATCCTGATGCGCAGGCTGGTCTGGATCCATGCTGGTCGCAAACGCACTATGTTGGTTTTGTCGTGACGCGGCTCACATGTATTTTTGTCGATCAAAAGACCCTCAATATAAAGTAAGTGATGATTATATAAAACACAATGCATCACGTGTCTAAGGGTTTGACAGTTATTTCATTTCGCTTCATTCAAAAACAATTCTATAAACACACAAAAAAGATTAAAACAGTTTTAATAATAACTTTTCAAGCAAAATTGAAATAAGTTAATATAAATATGCATTATTCAAGTGAGCGGAAACTTGTTAGTTTTTATTTATATTTGTATAAAAAACATTATAACTATTGTCAAAAACAGACACATACAGTACTTTCGCTTTCTATATACAAATTAGTGTTATTTGCATTTATTCTGGTGGAAATAATAGTAAGACATGTCAATGCTAGTGCGAAATTGTCTTCATTTACTTAAAAAGTGTCGGTTTCATAACCCCACATGATTCGAATATGTTGTACAATAGATGGACCAAAATATCTATGAGTGAATGATATAATTTAACATAGACTACAACCTATATTAGATGAATCATTTGGAAAATGAATCATTTTGAAAAATGTGATGATATAAATAGAATATCTGTGCCGGCAATGGTGCAACTACCTGTATTGATTGATACAGTTTTGATATCCGTTCAATGTGTACACGCATGTTGAATTTAATTGGAATGTAGAACAAATTGTAGAACAATCACATGACGTCATCATTAAAGTTATGACATCATAAAGTGCCGTCAGCTGAGGTAGATGAAAGATTTTGTGACGATCGCAGTAAGAAACACTGAGAAGAATAAAGTCCACCATTGTTTGTTGCACATTTGTCCGCTTTTAGCATCACCCGCAGTTCCTCTTTTATCTGTGTTTGATTTTTCCTCTACAATGATATGAAGAAGTCAAAATATATTCAATAATAATCACTTATTAAATAATCGGTAAATATTTTTTCAGATAATCATTTGACATTTGCTATTAGATGGTATAAATAGCATCTTTAAAAGAATCAACATACTAGTAATACAAATTAATGTACAATCGCTATTAAAGCTATGGAAAGCAATTATAATGTTTCCATTTTATGGCTGTAACCGAAGTAAATTTAATGCTCTTATGTTGCTTGTAGAAACAGAATTTACAGCAATAAGTTTTTTATCTTATTGATACAATAACGTGTTCCTTCAACTAAATGTTTTACATTTCTGGATCATGAGCATAAATTGTAAACAAAGTTTTCAATACAGATTATCATTTTGTAATGCATGTACAACATTTTACTTTTCAAAATTTTCAAAAACTTTCATTTCATTTTTTTCTTTGATGAAATTAAGAAATAATCTTCATTTGACAAAATTATATGCTTTTATTGGAGGTCTTTGCAGATAAATATAATTATTCTTACTTCTCAGAACTTATTAGTAGAGACACTAACAAATATGCACATATAATTGAAAAAAAAATACTAGTTGCCCGTATTTCGATGCCAGGATGGCATATATACCTATTAATCTATGGCAAAAACTATCTATTGAAATTTTTTTTATGAATAATGGAAAAGCTTCAAGTGGTGGCATGGACGAGTGGTTAAGGCGTCGGACTAGTAATCTAATGATCACTAGCCGCATGGGTTCAAACACCGCTCGGGGCAAGTCATTGTTTGCATGGGATACATTGCTCAGTGCTTAGTGGTTCCAGGAACGAATTAAAAAGTGTGTCTTATAATCTATAATCTATTAGCTTCCTGCACAATCAAACTAGAAAAAAATTCTGTATATACCAAAGCTTTATACTTAAGTTTGAAAAATGAAATCGATTAATACAGATATTTATTTGCGATTCATATTTATCACAGAATAAAGACATCCACATACCGTTTAAGATATTCACTTTCAGACTTGCTATAAGTTTTTCTGAATTCCTGCATATATATAAACCATCGTCATCTAAATTAGCATTGCGTATTTCTAAAACACTGTCCAACTGTCTTCGAGTTATTGACGTATCTTTTTTCACGTTAATTTTTGAAGAACTAAAAGGCCGCAATAAAACGCCATCTTTGAACCAATCGACGTCCTGAGGTATTTCTGTATTTCCGGTCACATTGCATATCAGTCGTATTGTGTCACCGCTATTGACGTATTCATTACCAGATAAAACAATTTCTGTGTGAAAAATAAAGAAAAAATAAAATATATCAAAATCATTAAAAGACAAACAAAGCGTTTCAAGATATTACACTTTCACGCAGAAATGTGGATTGAATTTGTCAAGACATGGTGCGGCAAAAAGAAACCGGCAGCATTTTCTTACAACTGTTAAGCAATTAGAAAATATCAAAATCATATAAGTGCTCCAATATTCCACGAGAACTTATTAATAGGGGTTAATACACTATTCAAACAGTGCTGGCAAATTATATTTGTTTCAAAGAAGATACTGTTATTTGAAACAATAATAATCTTTATTTAATATCGTATTTTATAGTCAATAGTAATAATCATTATAATAAATAGTAAATAAACCAAGCAGATAAATAACAACAACGTATAATAGGTGGATTGTTTTGATACACAAATTAAATGTAATAACCAACATAGTGCGTTTGGGACCAGCATGGCCCAAGACCAGCCTGCGCATCCACGCAGTCTAATCAGGATCCATCATGTTTAACTTTAGCGAACAGCATGGATCCTGGTCAGCTTGCAACGATGCGCAGGCTGGTCTGGATCCATGTTCTACGCAACCGCTCTATGTTGGTTTTGTCATGGCGCGGCTCATATGAATTGCTTTTTTTAAATTTTTAACAAATTTTCAGTTTATTTTTTTTTCTCTTTAATTCTGTAACTTACCTGGCATTATGTAGGGTGGACTTTCGTCTCCTGTAAAACAAATAAAAAATGATTAAAACGTTTTGTTTTCTAATAATGTGCTATTCCAATGTTCTAATGTCGACAATATAGATACAAATGTTTTTTCCGCCCTATTCAAGGATACAAACGTGGAGATATAAATGTTTTTGCCATCTTATTCAAGGGTACAAACATAAAGATACAATTGTTTTTGTCGCCCTATTCAAGGGTACAAACATGGAGATAAAAATGTTTTTGCCGCCCTATTCAAGGGTACAAACATGGAGATAGAAATGTTTTTATCGCCCTATTCAAGGGTACAAACATGGAGATAAAAAATGTTTTTGTCGGATATTCAAGGGTACAAACATGGAGATAAAAATGTTTTTGTCGCCCTATTCAAGGGTACAAACATAGCGATAAAAATATTTTTGTCGCCCTATTCAAGGATCCAAACATAGAAATAAAAATGTTTTTGAAGGGTACAAAAAGAGATAAAAATGTTTTTGCTGCCCTATTCAAGGGTACACACATAGAAATAAAAATGTTTTTGTCGGTTTATTCAATGGTACACACATAGTGATAAAAATGTTTTTGCCGCCTTATTCAATGGTACAAACATAGAGATAAACATGTTTTTGCCGCTTTATTCAAGAGTACGATCACATTTTTTATAGTTACAACTTGGTAGATATATCGTTAATTAGTGTAACGTGCTCCTCACTTTATTGTCAACGGTAACGCAGTGTAAAGTTATAACAGTAAAAGTCTATTTATACCCTGAGATTTGATAGGAAAAAAAAACCCACATTTACCGACTTCCTGATAACATCATTCTTTTATCATAATCTAATAGTAAAACATATTATTATTATTTATAAAAAAAAAAGTCAGCCATTACAAGAAAACGACAAAATCTACATATTTAGCATGGAACAATGCAGGACACTCCGAAAATATGCTAACAATATCCAAATAAAAATATGTTTTGCAATAAAAACTAATCTTATAATTCTTGGTTTTATGCAACTTCTCTTATAACAATCGACTTAACAAATTGTAGAAAATCAAATATCTGTTCTGTCCAGGTTTTATAAAGAAGTTTTGTCTACCTAATTCTTCTTTAAGATCAGCTCGTGATGGTGAATCCCTCGGTCGTCCTGAAGTTAAAATGGTAAAAGTTCATGAGCTACATTAGTTTAACATACTTTTTAGAGTAAGATTGTACGTCGTAAAAGCACTGCAGAGATCATATGGAGACTTTTAAGCTTTTACTGGTTTACGGACGACCTCAGGTGTCTCTCTTGGCATTATTTCAGGCAGGCATCAATGGGTACCTGAGTACAACCGACGTGACGTAAACTAGCAGGAAACGTCCTGACATGAAATAACCTAATGACCCTTGCTGTACTCAAACCCACAGTGTTGAAATGCAAACGACCTTAACCACTCGGTCACGGGGGCCATATTTTGCATACATATTTGCAATATAATTTAAAGTAAAATAATTATCCAAACAAATAACTAAGTCTTGTTAACACGATACGCAGTGGATAATCTTTCTTTTTTAATATACATGCACATCAGAAATGTGTGTACCATATTTGAAAGATGAACAATCGGGTTTTGCCATCTAACAAAATAAACTGTGTTTTTAGTATAAACGTTATAAACTTTACCACAATAAAAACAAATCTGCTTCTTTACAATTCAAAACGCTTATTATGTCATTTTTAAATAAAATAACTTAACTTAGTTTATATAACCGTTATATCGTCCACAACCATCTTTGAAAAAAACTAGTTTTTTTCACATTAGATTTGTTTCACATTAGATTTGTTTCTATTTCATTTTACATACTGAAGTATCAAACACTTACCAACCACCGTCAATAATATGTGTCTTATCAGTTTATCTTTCGTGCTAACTTGGCAATGATAAACACCGGAATCACTCTTTCTAATGTTGTGTATTTCTAGATTATATTCTCGCCTTTCTTTTGAGATCCTGACACTATATCTTGCGTCTGGGGCGTAAACAAACTCTCCGATAGCGATTGGATGCGGATCAGAAGCTTTTCTCCAAACGACCTAAAAATAAAAGAGTATTTAAAATTTCATTACTAAAATAAAAATTTGATGCTGGATGTACCAAACCTTTAGAATATAACCCTATTTTGTTTATTTGTTAATTGCTCTTAGTAGTTACAATAAAAAGCAACTAAGAATTTTGTCATTTTGTCATGAAGTTGCAATCATTAGATGTATAGAGTAATTAAGCAGACCTCCGAGTAATGTACATTCTAAGTTTTCAAACATAAGACGATTGATTCATTGTCGTTTTACTGATTAAAAGGTCAAATGAGCCTATAATGCTGTTATTTCTATTTTTGAAAAATAAATCCGACTGTTACATCTTCGCTTCATAAAAGTTACTCATTGGCCATATCGCTGAGCAACCTTAAGCATTTTAGCAATAAGTACGAGATATTGTGGTTTTGTAATTCGTATTCAAGTCAGAAATTATTAAATACCAATTTTGCTACATTTTGCTACTTATATTACAAAGTACCACACATTAAACAACGCTATTTACTTCAGTTTATAAGCATTTCTCATTGTTCTTAATCTTTTTTTTTGCAACTTTTAAACACATTCTGCCCTATGTACTGAATTAAAGAGGGTTACATTTTCTGTAACTTATGATCTAACAAGTCAATATCGTATAGACAAGTGAAACACACGAAAGAAAGTGGGCCAGGTTTCTGTAATTTTATTAAAGACCTACGTTTCGGCTATTTAATAGCCTTCATCAGTCAATAAACAATATAATGTACTTGTTTGATAAATTTATGCATCACCACTGTACGTACCAATGTTAGTTATTATTTACTTAATGCCCGATAAGGATGTCATTTAACGATAAGACAGGCGTCGAAATGTCTTTTGTATGCAAATCGTATTTATAAAGAATGACAATTTCAACTTTTGTAATATGCCGTTTACTTAGGAATCGTTATTGCGTTAAATAAAAAGCAACACGTTTTATACAGATACTAGTAGTATCTTTCATTACTCAAGATACGGTACAAAATGCTGTCAAACTCTAGAAATGATAATTTTGTTTCCGGTTCTCGTAATTTAAACGATAAAAAAATGTGTTGTTACTTACTGTTTTGTTCCCAAGGTTTTCTACAGAACACAACAATGTTGCTGTTTGCCCTACATGAAATGTAACGTTGTGGGGTTGAGGAATAAAGTATGTGGGACCGTCAAAGTCGTATGCTGAAATTAACAGAAACACCTTTGTAATATCTATAAATTGTGATATAACCACAAAATTAACGATAAATGTACATACAGACAAACCTGTATAAAAGATCATTATCAAATAAAGACCAGTCTGTAAATAAAGACATTATGCGAAAACACCTCATTGATTAAATATAATAGAGAAAATTCCAAATAAAGTACACTTGTCTATAAAGGTCATGTTCAGTCTCTCGTTTGAATGCCCGTTGATCTCGGGTGTGACTGTACTTTAATATCGTGCAAAAATATATATAAAAACTTCGCAACAGCTACAAACAATCAATGTTAAGTGAGCTGAAAATCACTTAGATACAAACTACCTGCATATATGCAAGAAAGCAATCAAAATATTTTGGATTTTCATCTTGCCAATGGTATTAGTTCATGCTTTCAGTGTTAATTGAAATGTCAATGAAATATGCACCCAAAATATTTAGAATTGCTGTGCCCTTTGTAGACGCCAGTTTCTATACAGGTACTATATGTATTTTAGAAAATAATGAGATTACAGTAATAATGAAATTTGCAATATGTTTCGAATATTAGAAACTTAAACTTGTTCAACAATAAAAAGGTATTTGTATTATTTCAAATTGTTTGTATGCATTGTTACATGTCTAAATGATGGATATTTGAGATTGAAGATCAAACATTTTTTTTATTAAAATGCGATTTACAGCTGCTGAAGCTGACACCAATCAAGTGATCAATACAGATATATTGTAGTATATTTTGCTAATAAAAATATTATGCTATGTTTTTTTCTGCTCTTTCGAGATCATTGATTCCCGCACTTTAAAGTGTTGAAAGTTGAGGACCGTTTAAGCCGATGCTAGGGGGCGACAGGAATGTCGCAAATTTGCTTTATACCTCATGGACAGACCCAAACAAACCGAGTCTGCTACTTTCATGTAATTTGTTGTGTTTAAGGTAGTACACCCCTAATGCATAATCTCCACTTTCAAGAGTATTCAAATAGGCTAGAATCACTGGAAAGTGTATTGAAACTGAGGGGCAACTTTTTTTTCTTTCTTTTTTTCTTTTTAACATTTTTTATTAATCTCTCAGATCCCTTATGGAAGAAAAATGTGTTTCATTTGAATTATATAATTATTGTAGGTATTTATTTACTAAATAATTCCAAATTCAATAGCAAATATGATACCAGATATTTTCAAAGTATAATAAAATAAAAACTACACGGCAAAAGTATTTTATATTTTGCAAGACCACCCAATATACATTTAAGAAATTTTAGGCAAACTTTGAAAACCGCCCCTCATTGTGGAAAATTTAAGGGATATTTTAAATAAGGCTTTTTACATAAGGGAATTGTCAAATAAGTGTTAAAAATGGGTGGGGTAGGGTTACATTTTTAAACATATTAAAAAACATTTCATTTAAAAACAATCATTTTGCTTGTTTAATTTGTTACTTAAATGTCATTATTTGCTTCTTAACAATGACAATAGGAAAACCTTTTTCATTATCATTATGATGATATTATAGATTATGTAGAGTTTCCTCATTTCTGAAAACAGCCCTTCTAATGGCAAAGTTTTAGTTCAGAAAAATGTCCATAACTCATAAACCACATGGTAAATTTGGTTTAAATTTTGCATACAGGTGACATTTAAGGCATATAACTGTCCTATGTTGTCAATTTTACAGTTCCTTATAGTGCCCATTAGGGGTGTTCTACCTTAATGCTTCTGAGCGATCATTCCTTTTCCGGATTTTTGACGATTTCAGTAGATTTTGTAAGATTTCAAATGGACAAACTAGTATGAAAAGTATTTTGTTGTCAATCTAATTATCTAACAAGATTAAAGTAAAAACAGTGATTTGGTTTCCAGCAAAATAATTTGCTTGTTCTAGACACATTCAATATGATATAAAAATGCAAATAAAACTTATGGTATTTGACTTTTCAAGTTTCATTTAAAACTTTGTTTTGATTAGAGGTAAAATATTTGAGCGGTAAACAAGGATGAATATTTTCTTGTAAATTTATGTTATTTAGCCTTTCTTTTATAAGTTTTTAAATCTAAATGAACGACTACATCGATAAATTTCATAATATAAATTCATGTTTCCTAAGCTACAAATTAAACATTATCCATACATTGTATATTGTAATTTCATCAGGCAAATAAACGAATCATTCTTAAGAAATGTTATTTGTTTTGTAGCATCTAACTGTACCAGACAATACCAAAGGAAATATGTTTTGAATAAACTTTGCCATACAGTAAATAATGCCGTAGGTTGAATTGTAGGTGCAAACAATACTACTTGGCACAACTGTTACTTAACGACAATGGAGGCACATTTTATATTGAGTATTAAATGCTGATCCAAAAATTTCATTAGTACAGTAAGCAATTAGTGCTTTGTTCTAATGTCAAATATATATCGGTCCGCAATATGTTGTTTAACATTCTTGTTCGTATAAATCAGCACAAAAATGTAAAAATGTAAAAAGCAACATACATATATATGCTGCCTGTAATTTTAGAATTATTATAGAATAGAGGACTAGAGATTTGATTTTTTATTTAAATTTGAAAAAGTACAATTCCAAAATACCTGTATAGAAGAAAATTGTAGGTATATTTCCTACAAATCGAATAGCGCTTGCGCTACAACATTTGTAGATTATTAAAACTTTAATAGAAAAATAGCAGCACAATAAGTTGTCGCCGACATTTTATTGTGTAAAAGTAGTTAACACGGACTTTCAGTGTCACCGCTATTTCGGAAATACCCATACAATTTTGGCAACAACATGATTTTAGTATAATTCATAAATTTAACCAACATATTTTATTAGATATAACATTTTACCTTTTAATGATTTCTGGATGAACAATTTCAATTATCCCGTACTGCAAGTTTTTGTATTGTAAGCACCGTTTTGTTGTTCTTGTCATACGATTTTGAATGAGTTTAAAATGAAATTTGTGTCAGAAATATCATAAAGAATTAACAGCCTCGTTTTATATTTAATTACATACACTAATACTTTTAGTTAAAATGATATTTGACAGGTTATGCATATATAACCCGAGCCGCTAGAAGTAAGTTATATTGCAAATATATGTTTATCTACGACAATATAACATGTAAAGAATCTTTATAACAAATATAAAATACAGCACACTTCCATCATTTGAGAGAAAAATCTAATTATTTTATAAACTGAGAGTAGCCGTGTATAACTTTTATATTCGCGTCATGAGCTGTTACAAATGTGCAGTTTTAGAAAAGTATATAAAAATAATAACTTATGTAAGGTTATATAGTTATGTATAATCATAAACCCAAACAATAGAGTCATTTATTATAATAATATAAATTTCTTTCAAACATTGCATTTTCCTTCATTTTTCATATCAGAACATAAACAAGCGTGCCCATACATACATAATTTTTGTAATAATTCATAAGACGCCATGCAGTTTTGTCTCAAGGGAAATGGCGACGACAAACAGAATAAAAAGAACTGCAATACATAGAAAGCGCCTTTTGAGTTATTGAATTTATACCTTGGTTGATTTTTTATAGTCCGTCTACCTCATCGTTTATTCAACTGAATGGTTTTGGTTGGGGCATTTTAAATATGTATGAGTAGGATTAGGTGATTGATTGATTTGCAAATTCTGTTTCACTACATCTTGTAAATTACGGGATTGGTATAGAATGATGTGCCAGAACGATAAGCGTATTGATGGCTAAATTGATCAAACATTGTATTCATTAATCTTTTATACTTTTATACTTCTATTTGAAAAGAAAACCCTAACGAATTGGTAAAGAATTATACAAGTGAATGCTTGCTTAAATAATTCATTAATAATTTTTCAAGAACATGAAACACTATTAACTACAATGACTATTATATTTTACATTGCGGTAGGGCAAAGCGTTTTTTTTTATATCATACATTGAAATGAATTGCTTTGTGTCAGACTTGATAATACTCTTCTAGAAGATATATTTGACTAAGTCGTGGATCTCGTCCAATGTGTCAGAACGAATTGACTCGCTTCCACATTGCCTTGACACCTGCTCGCAGATGGATGTAAATAATTCCATTTAATGATATATCAAAAGTTATTAGTCTACACATCCTAAAATAGATTTTACGCAATCAGCTGTTTAAAAGAGAACTTAGCTTCGGTTATAATGTGTTTGAAATACAAAAGGTGTGTTATGTCACTCATCAGGTAAAGCTTTATCAAGATGTTTATCACATAAATTGTTAATAGAAGAAGGATATGTACTTAATGCAGTATGAATCAAATAGAAAACGAATACCATTTATATTAGTTTGTCCATTCCATAGTGAATTGAGCATTGGTATTATTGTGCTTGGTGATAAACATGTATTTTTGCCAATGAAATATACTACTTGACTTGACTTGTTTATCAGTATAATTATATGTATAAATGTTTTAATTCAAGTATCATTTACATTGAGTGGAATCCGATTTTGGACGTACATACTAATTAATCACCAGTATATCAAATTAAAACATTATTTAATTTTATTATTTGTATAAATGCATTATCACACTATGATTATGTACCAGTCAAATTAAAAAAATGATCTGTTTTGTTCTGTTTAATATTAGTTAAGTTAGTTTTACTTGGTTCATGTATAGCAAGTTTGTTCATTGAACCAAGTACTTTAGCTTATTAACTTACCTTTCGCCCACGAGTAATTTTGTTGAACAGATTTGGCAGGAAGAAAACCCTTATTATGCCATCAAACAGTTACTTAATTAACGTGAACATTTGATTTATTACCTAAAGTTTCATGCTTGTGGCGAGAAATGTTGTAAAACTTAGGAGAATAGGAACAATGTATGAGAACAAGTCTAACAGTTTGGTTACATCACTTTTAAGCAAGTTTTTTCCCCAAACAATCGGATATGAAACTGTTGAATGATAAATGGAGTCCACAATGCCCTAGTTACTTATGTTCTGTATTTTAACAATGGCGACTTCTAGGATCAAAGTCATGATTTACAACGTTAGTTCTTCCGAAGATACAATATTTTTTTGTTTAGTCCTAATATTTTCGAAATATGCCAAAAACAAACAAGTGATATAAGTCAAATATGAAATAGATATATCCTACTGAATGCCGGATTAATAATCCTTTAAAAAATGAACTATTTATTAGCGTGAAATCGACTGTAAACGTTCACTTTAAATTTGAATGTAAATTTTATGTTCATAATCATGCTGCTCTATATATTAAAGCTAACAATTGATGAAGCCTATTTAAAATGGTATTGAGCATGTATACCATCTTGTGTCTCCAACATACATTTGCGGTCTGACACAACTGTCAGACTCCTGTTTATGTTTGTTTCACATTCAATAAAACAGCTTAATAATATGATTTAAAATCTAACACATACTTAAAGCTGTTTAATTTTTTATGAAGATGTAAGATAATAAGTCTTGTATAGCAAACAAAAAAGTGACAAATCTT